CTAGTGGGCCCCACCCGCATGGCACTTGCGCCTGCCAACCGCGGTATCTGTGTACAGCCGTGTTGCCTCTTTCCTGACAAATGTGGCCACTGTTTGCGGGGACAAGAGCCTTTCGCGTCACTGATGACTCCTCCCTGCTCCCAACACGGTTTAACCGCTGTCCAAAAGGCTGCCTGCCCTTACAAAAAGCCCCCAGAGGGAACGCATAGAACGGAGTGTCTGCTGGCCTGTTTGTGGGCTAACAGACTGGATTAAGAGTTCAAACAACGACATGTGCTATGTTGAGATCATACAGACAATCTCAGCTATGTACAATTTTTTTCTCCAGTGGTGTTGATATTACGTATCCAAATAAAGTAATACAAATATGGTAACATAATTAGGCATATATAAGACATGGTTTGGTGGCATACTGAATAGGTTTTTCCCCTAAAAGAAAAAATCACATCACCTCTGAGCTGCATCCACAAACCTGCTCCGATACGAAACGTGTCCTGGACAGTATCTGTATTGCTCGTATCTGCAGAGATCCTGCCCTTCTGCCTGTTGTTGCAGCAATGTTCTGGGGTATGATCAAAATTGACCAATGGTCTTACCATTCACCATTTAAGCACCTGGTAAGCCTCCGAATCAAATCCTTACCCCCATTGCCTGTTTTTTTTTCCTGGCTTCCAACACATCAAGTATGAGGACAAATCGTTCACGTTGTCTGCCTAATATATCCAAACACTAGCAGGTGCCTGTTGAATTAATTTCACTGTGCCAGGTGGTCATAATTTTATGGCCGGATCGCGTGTATTGCATCAGTATTGCATTTTAGATGCTTTTGCATTGAACATCTTATTGGTAAATCGCGCTGGCTGTGTCACAGAACGGCTGGGTAGTCGAGGGCTGAGCCCATGTCGTCCACGTTCGCAGGAGTTGACGTGATTCTATAAAGGGATTGTTGCCCGCTGCAGCTATACACACTGACACACTGCTTTATCAAAGGATACCCCCCTGACGCTGTCCTGCTATGTTTTTTATCTGCTTCTGTGTGGCCTGTGGAAAATAGCCAAACATAATGTATGCGCATCTTATATCATACCGTTAAGCTGAGGGCCTTCTATGAATGGGCCAGCTCTGCTGAGGAGCTGGTTTTCACTGACCGTTCCCTTTGCATTAGATGAACACACCAAGATGCTCCTGAAGGTGAGAAACACATCAGTTATATCTTCAATCAATTCAAAAGGGTTGCTCCAAAAATGAATCTTGAAGGAACTTCTTTAGCACCTATAAGTGATAAGAATATACATTTTAAGTCTTTTACTGTGGTGTTAACTCCAGCTCGAGCCAACAAGGAGCCCAAGGCAATCATTCTGCCTTCCCCACCAATAAATTGTGATTGTGTGTAAGTATTCGAATAGAAGTTTTAATTTGATTGTCTATAATTCAATTACTTCTACAATACATTCAGAAAATATATTCATTTGAATTTAGTGTTCCAACCCAAACACAATGCATCTACATGTTGTACTCCCCCGCTATGGATCAGCATCTCCTGATTTCAGTTTTACCCAAAAAAATATGTTAATCATATATATATATATAATATATATACCCACTATATACGAAAAAAAAGAAAAACCATAGTATAGAAAAAAAGTGTATATATACTGTATATAATGATAACATATACTTTTTTATTTTATTTTATTTTTTCTTCAAGAAAATGTTTTTTAAATCCAGCAGAAGGTTTGACGCATGTCCTCCTGGTTTTTCCCAGCTGCTGACCAATCACTATGAGCGTTGTTGGAAATATTACTGCCTGGCTGGAGGCTGGGGCAGCTTTGGAGCTGCATCAGATGAGGAGCTTCATCTCTCCAGGAAACTGTTCTGGGGGATTTTTGATGCTTTGTCTCACAAGGTGAGCTTTGTTTGTTGTTTGTTTATGAGGAGTTGTACTTCTAATAAGTAAAAAGTAAAAAAGTAAACTGAACTATGTCTAAAGCTGGCAGTTAGCTTCTTTTATATATGCGGAAACTTTAAATCACATTGGTACAGCTGTCATCAAACTGGCCTCGATCTGTCTCAGAGGCTGTGTTCAGTCCTGGTCAGTGCCGTGTTCACTGGGAGGCTGTGGAGTCCAGCTGCAGCTACAGCAGCAGTAGCTGTAGGACTTGAGAGGGAAAACAGACAATATTTTCTCCATAAAATGTGATCCAATTTAACCAAAATCAATAATAAAGTTTTGTTTTTATACAGTAATCAGTGAAACACAGCCCCCAGAAACACTCTGCCATGCTGTTGCTATCTAGCTAACAAATAAATATTAGCTCCGTATCGCTAAAAGTTAAAGATTGATTGATAGGTGAATGTGATGATATTATTGGTTGAAACTGTTTTCTTCACGCTTTTTTAGGTTCGCATAAGATATTGTTTTACAGGAATAAAATAACAGGATAAAAAATACGAAGAAATTGTTGTGAATTCGATACTACAGACATTCAACCCAATGACAAATACCACGATATAATGCAAACAATGATAACAATATGTTGTTGGTTTGCAAACTGTCACTACAGTTTACAGCAGCTAAAATGCAGACAGGACAAGATGGTTTAACATCACAACATCAGCATATTTTGACAAACTAGATAATAAACTTAATGTCTGTGTGCAAGTCGTTACTTGACACGAAAATCCTGTCTGGAACAAGAAGTTAGCGTTGTGTGGCTTGGTCATCGACATATAAACGACAGATGACGTGACAGCTCCCCGCAATGAAGCCAAAGCATCTCCTTCCTACCTCTAATGGATAACTAAACCCTGCCCTCTCCATGTTAATAAATGTTTTCCAAAGATGGTTTCTGTCATTTTAGGTAGTTCTTATTACTCTGATGTGTGTTTTTTCTGATACGTTTGGCAGCTGAGTCCTGCTTGTGATTGAATCAGCTGTATGGGTAGAACCTCAATACTTTAGCGTCAAGCCAGATCACTACTGCTCAGACTCTGGCTCCAAATGATGTTGCCAGCATAAGATGGCAGCAGCCGTATCTGGGATATTTTGGCTTAGTTTTTGTATTCATTTTCAACAGACACAGAATGGAAAGTGAAAGGACTGTGAGGAGATGCTCACTGAAATTGAATAGTAGTGCATTGGATTAGAGTTGAGTTACCTAGAATTGCTTTCACGACCTTTAAACCTGCAGGGGAAACATAACAGTGCTGCGTAATGATGTGTGAAGCAATGTGCTCTGTCTGTGTTTTTATGATGTAGCGGTATGACCAGGAGCTGTTCAAGCTGGCATTACCATGTCTCAGTGCTGTGGCTGGAGCTCTTCCTCCAGACTACATGGAGTCCAACTACATGGCCATGATGGAGAAACAGTCGTCCATGGACTCAGAGGGAAACTTCACTCCACAGCCTGCAGACACTGCCAAGTAAACAACATATTTATTTTGTCAGTGTTAATTTCTGTTAACATTGACAACTTCACTCTACAGCCTGCAGACACTGCCATGTAAACAACATATTTAGTCAATAAGTCAAGTTATTTTTTATGCAGATCCTATTTTCGATTTTTAGATTTTACAGATTGTTTGCTTGGCTTGATTTGATTTGATTTGACCTCACATATTTGAATATGTTTTTGGTTTTTTTACCTTTGTGCTGGTATCCTTAAGCAAGATACTGAACCCCATGCTCGGTGTATGAATGTGTGTAAATAATTAGTTTCTGTTATGGGCTTTGCCATTAGTGTATGAATGAATGTTTGTAATTGTGGCATGAAGTGTAAAGCACTTGGAGTTGTCAGAAGATTAGCAAGGCGCTGTATAAGTGCAGTCCATTTACCTTTTACCATTTTCTTCTGTCTTATCAGTGTGACTGTCCCAGAGAAACTGGACTATTTCATAGTCAGATATGCAGAGCATAACCATGAGAAGTGGTGTATAGAAAAGGTAAGGAGGCGAGAAGTTACACATAATACCGCAGTATCATGTTTCAGTATTAATACTATGCAAGAAAATGTATTAATTTTGAATTGTTTTTTTTTTCAAATGTTTGACAGTTTTCCAATGGCTGGTCATTTGGGGAACAGATGTGTCAAATCTCCAAAAGCCACCCTTTATTGAAACCATACAAGGGACTCTCTGAGAAGGTAGTCTGCATGCAGCTGAGGATGGCTTCATGCAAAAATGTTTTGTTTGTTTTTCTTTTTTTCCACTGAAGATTCATTGACCATATTATAAACATATAAAACTAACACAACAACATGTAAACAGGATAACAAACATTAACAAAATAATACAACAACAGTAAAAAAGGGGAGTTTTTTTTAGTAATGCATCCATTCTCACGGTTTCATCAACAAAATCAATTTTTATTTCCAGAGTCTTAAAGGTGAACTTCGGCAGATTTTTACCCTAGTCTTGATCATTAGAGGTCCCCGAGTACTGTCAATAGGAAAA